AAAACCGTGAGTTCACTACACAGAGCCGAGAAGGACGCCTTCTTAGAGCGTTACGGTTCAATTCAGCGCCTGAGCATTCGCTCCCGTCACACAAGCAGATCCTGGGGCCGTTGCGAGGCTCGTGTGATGCGTTTCCGATATTGCTCTATCTCGTTCTTACCAAAGCTGACCGTCTCTAGCCTCGTCCTAGGTGTTACGCCAAACAAGGTGTGCAATGCGGAAGCGGACAAGGCTCGCGAACAGGAAACAACAACGCCGTGAGGTGCAGTGGTGTCCCTCCGGTGAAACCCGCAACTCTGTTTCCCCCGACGGCGGTAGAATAGACAGTAGAAGGCGCAAAGTACTTGCACGAGGAACGGTTTTGCGCACCGTCTTTGACGCAGCGGTGTCCATCAAATGCGCACAGTCAGTAAGTTCGTAACTCTCTGCCTGAGCCTGTTCTTGCGTGCAGCGGGAAGCCGTGCGTGCGGAACACAGCTTCTCTCTATGACCAGTCCTATGCCGCTCTGAACCCAGCGCACCCTCTAGTATGCCAAAAATACCTGATCCCTCCTGCTGCCTGGAGTCCGTAATGCGACTGAAAGTTCAGTGTGGTGCGACTGAGCGGCCAGGCATCCCCCTTTGTGTGGAGTTCCTGTATCAATGTCACAACTAGTCTTGCGCAGGCGTTTTACCGTCTGAGCACCCTTAAGCACCTCCTCCCTTCTCTTCTCTTATTTTTTGGTTGTGTTGGTACCCTGCTTTTTTGCGCCAGGAATTCCTCAAACAGCTAGTCTTGCACGCAGCACGCGCATTCGGCAAACAGCGGTAGAAGGTCAAAAGTAGCCGCGGGGCTTACGCACCAAGGTGAGCTGACTGACAACGTTACCTTGCGAAGGACGTATCGTGTCACCCGCTCTTGCAGGGCTGGTACAAAAGTAAGCAAGGCGGGAAGCAAATTAGGCCACGGCCGACATGCTTCCCTTCTAGTAGTGCAGGAGCGACTAACACTTAGGGAAGGAAATTTGCACCAATGTGTGGTCAGCTATCTGACACTACTCGTTTGTAGTCTCCGCCTCCCTTTTTGGCGCCTCGCGACACAGACGCGTGCAACCCAACCATCCTGCTAGGCGAGCAGAGTGGGCACGTTGTGCAGTAGAACGTCTGCTGAGGTTCTCTTTAAGGCTGAGGGCACTGTACAAGTCGTACACCGCCAGTCTCCACCGCGTCCACACCGGCTATTGAGCCGACATTGATAAAGGTGGACGCGTGCCCAATGAAACTGGCTAGGGATGGGTGCACGTTACTGGAATCACCTGTAGAGGTGTCTGCTAGAAAGCGCAGTGCCGCCTTGGGCGGCCCACGTCGTCCCCCCGGAGGCAACAGATGGCGTGTCTCGCGTCTGTTGTCGAGAGGCCGCATAAAACGATAGCCGCTGCACGAACCGCGCAGTCCGTGCCAGTCTCGTTTTCGTCTCACTTCTTCCTATACAGTTGCGGAATTTCAATCGTAAGCGGTCTATTTCGAAATGCGCGCCGCTCGCGAGTGCGGACATTCTTGTAGCTCCACACGAGTCGCACTTCTGGCACTGTAAAGTGCATTCATGATGGCCGATCAGGGCTCCATACACGCCGTGAAGAAGGTGATACAGAGCTAATTCTGTTTCAATGAAAGGCAGCGAGATTGCGTGGGCCGCACGTGCGCCGGCAAAGTGCGACGTGTCCGGGATCGGCCCGCGTAGCCAAGACTTCTCGGATATTGTTGGAAACCGTTGAGGCAGGGTTTGGATGTGCTGATCCGCTGCAGGGACGTTACAACGCCCGCCGCATACGCCAAAGGTGAGGGCTTGCACTTTTGCGAGCACACTGCGTAGTGCGGACCGCCCGCGTGGCCTGAATAGGAGTACTCCCGGCTCTTAGACGTCCGCTTGACCGTAATTGACCTCTCGCAACAGCCCGCTGTGTCAGCGACACTTCGTTCGTAGGCACGCTCCAGCGTTAGCACCCTTGAATCCAGCCTATCAGACCAAGCCCAACTCTTACGTAACGCCGGCCCTTTTCTTAAAACTCCACAACGCCCTGACGTTACCGACGCTGTAGCACGCTCTCCAACACGCTTCCGAGAGGCTTCTTACCAGGTCCACTCCCCTTGAAACAGTGGTGCCTGCTACATCTTCCATAGTTCGTCTTGTGCTGCACCGGCATTCAGGTGCCTCGCCGGTGTTCATTACAGCTTCGGGTGGCACGGAGACTCTCTCCCGCGTCAGACGTGTAGGGTGAGCAGCGTTACGTCGGATGAAGCTGAATCCCTCTTTGTACTCTGAAAAACACCCCTTAGGAGGAGCTATTTTACCAGGCGCTGTCATGGTGTGAGGCAAGCTACGTCCGCATACGCCGCAGGCATGCTGTATGAATGGTCTGGCCCTTTCGAACCCGCGCGGGGCAGGGAGCTCCACGGGAACTCGTAACGCTCAGCCCCGCATCCCACGTGATCCAAAACGGGGCTCTCACATAGCACTTTGGAATTTTTACAAGTTATTCAGCTGGTACCTGAAGCTTTTGTGTGTCGTGGACGTATCACCCACTGTTGACATACGAGAGATTACGTGGAGTTGCTATTTTTCAGAGGTGCACTTGCCAAGCCGGTCTGCGAGCCTCGCTTCGCCCGACTGTTAGGCGACGCCTATCTTGCGCGGAAGTCGTCTACTCCAGCTACGCAAGGAGGCCTACCGAACCCCACATTAAGCGGCGAAAACCCGTGCTTTGACTGCGCCGACGGTAGTGCGTCAGCTGACGCAGGTGCACGGCACCTCTTACCGACGTCATGAAGTAGTGGCAGTCCATGCGCGAGAGCAAGAGCCAGCTAACTGCTACCACCATCCAGAAACCGGTGAGAAACCGGTGCAACCAGCAAACGCAAGATCCTGATACGGGGGGCGCTCAAGGCTGCTCTCGCACAGAACTAGACGGCTGCAGAGGCTGCGGACGGAGTAGCAGGTGGAAGAGTAAGTTAAACGTAGAACAGCTCGAGTACTCAGTTCACTCTCTGCCGAACGGGTCTGGCGAGCTCTGAGCATTACTAGGAAGCCTGGCTGCGTCAGAGTCGCCGCCCAGCAGCGTACCGGAGCACAAATCGAGCAGGAAAGCGGAACACCCGTACGCGGTGTTCGACGCACAATAACGGTTTCTCTTGCTAATTACCGGTGAGAATGAAAATGTCAAGGGCTTCTCGACGTATTTTCTGCCGCCGTACATATGGGCAGTAAAGCTGAGTGCGTTCCTCACCACGGCGCCAGGACTTCCTCACCTCGCCCGTGCACGTCAGCCGCAGTTTCGCTTCTGAAAAATCCCCACCCAGGTGCTAGCATGCGGTGTGACAAGGTGGACGAAGCGGGGCTAAACTGAGCAGCCCGAGTGAAGGCACAGTTCTTGGTAGTACCCCGCCAACTGTTGCCACAGCCCGCTCGCACGTGCCCGTCCTTCTGTAGAACAATGCGCTTTTTGAATCGCGAACACCATGCAGTGCACACCAGAGTCGAAAGAGGTAAACTTTAGAGGATGCACGGGTGCTGCGGAACGTGTACCCCTGTGACTGGGAGCCGCACGCCAGCGCACGGCAGTAAGTCCTGGGGAGAGCTCATGCATTGCGCGCGGCGACCCCGTGCCGGCCACGCGGCGCGTCAACTGCTAAGGGGTGCGCCTCTTGCGCCGTTGAGGTCGGGTGCGACAACGCTGAGACCCGCGAGCATGTGGAATCGTGGGCTGCAAACTAGCCCACCTACCACGCTGTCCACTTTGAAAAAAAAGGAGCAATTCCTTACTCGCCGCTTCACAGTACGCCGGGAGAGGAAACACTAGCTACAGAATATTTGTCAACCTCCTCCTGACTGCGGCCAGGACTTCGGACTCTCAATAGGCACCACAGCCGCAGCGCAGAATCTGGTGCGGTCTGTCAGATCCCCAAGACGGTCAAGGGGAGTACACTCAGTTGCGATACATCTGCTCGTAACGCGTGTGAGAAGGCTTTGCACGTCGTACGCCGCTGCCGCCGTCAGTGGCTACACAGCGCAGTCGCGTCCGCGAGGTAGCTGCGAGACTGGTGTAGCTCAGAGCCACCGCTCTGATCTCCAGACGTTGCATAGAGTGCTTCTAACAACCATGTTAGCTTTCGCGCAGTGCCTCCGCATTGGGTGGGGCAATTATTAGACGCGTACACCAGAAGAGCTGTGCGGCGACGGGAGAAAAACTACGCCACGGGCACTCGGCTTGAATATCTGCTTTGGACACACTTCAAGGAAAAGTGGCGGCGATTTTCTGACTCGCGGTTCCCACCATATTGGCAGCCTGCTATACCTGTACATGAATTGCTGACGGCAGTAGGCAGGGAACGCGTACCACTCCCTTCCTCGCTTTGATGCTGTGCAAGGACTGGTGGTCTTAGAATCTAGTGCGGCTGCTGCCGCAACAGCATGCTATATCCGTTGGAATACACAATCTTTGTGGTCGACGCAAAGTGGCGGTAATGTTCTGTCATTCATGCGCAGCGCAGTACTGTCTACGTCCAACGTGGTCTAGAAGTCAACAGTCATACATTCGCCTGCCTTTCGGACGTCCTTGCCTAGCGCCCTCCGCGCCGTACGCCCACCTCTGCCAGCCCCCGCTGACACGCTCTACGGGACAAACCGGACCGCAGAGAGCTACTGAAGGAAGTGGACACTTTCCTGCCTAGGCTGTACTCGTACTCGCGAGTTTGTTCGAGGGCGCCTTCCATGCTCTCCTTGATGCGTTCGCTTTTGCTTCGTTGGTCGTCTGGAGAAATTAGAGCGCTCAGCAGTCCTCTGCTGCACATGCTACCTCGAGTGATCGACACTACTCCGTGAGTTCAGTTCCGCGTAGCTGTGATTCTTGACATTCTGTGCTCGCGTTCCGTAATAGCAGCGAAACTGCCGATAAGCTGGAGTGGTGACTCATTGCAAGGTAGACGTTAGCAAACGTAGACGACGATATCAGGCCTAGTGCGCGCTGCCCTACCGCCGGACGGCATTTAGTTGCGGCAGCTTGTGCCTTGTACAAAATACGTTTTCCTGTGCCTTTCCCACGTGCCGACAGGAACTGAAATGTCTCGACCTTGCTCGCTAATGTCATTCCCCTTCACGCGGAAGAACGCACAACGGGGCTCCGCAAAAGGCTCTACGCCGTAAGTTCAAGAAATAGAGCGGAAACGAAATACGTAGCGCTTGTTCCATGCACACATGACAGGGGCACGTCCCCGTGCTTCTGCACTAAACAACAAGGAGCCCTTGCGCGTACCTACTCTCGCGCTTTATCTTTTACAAGCCGTGTCTCTCAGTGGCTCTACGCCAGGTGTCTAGCGGGCTTCACTCAGACAGCGCAGTCGACAGAACCAAGCATACGCACCTGCGTTCCCAACGTGGACCGGGCGCTCAGGATCCGGCCCCTAAGATCCTACGTCCTCCGGGGAGCCCGCAGTAGACGCTCGCGATATTTTTTGACCTTGAGAAGCACCTTCACAGACGCTGCGTATACTTTACCTGCGCGTAGTGTGTCGTCTTGCGGGGCGCCTCCCAAGAGGCGCACGCTACTAGCGGCCGCGGGGCTGTCCCATTGCGGCATGGCTTGCGTGGACTACCATACCGAAGTCCTTTAGGTGGCACACTCTCTTCCTTCGTCCTCTGTAGAGACCTGCGTGTCATGCCAGATCAACCCAGGATAGTGCCAAAGCGGACACCAGCTCGACACCAGCTCCTCGCCCGACGAGTCCAGAGGAGATGCTGGGGTTTAACTCGCCAAGGAAGTACCAAGCGAAGTTATTTTCTACTTTTTTAGCGCATACTAAGTGCTTCCGCATGTAGGGAGCCGCTGACAGGCTGAGCAACCATCGGGAATTTGGCTGCGCAGTCGAGTGCGTCGCACTGCTTGTTGACTTCGAATTGCCTCGCCCGATCACGTCCGCTAGAATTTAATCATCGGCCACCAGCCACAGCAGAGTCGAACGGGCAGCGGATCGGCATGTGTGCGCTGCCCACAACTAGCAAACATGGGGCGCAAATACAGAGGAGCTCCGACTGAAACCGGTTTTGCGAGCGACCGTCTCCTGGCCGTCTGAGAATCCTCAGTTCACGGGGCTCGACCTATTCATAGCAGCGGGCTTCGCATGCTGCCACGGATTTCAGCGTGCCTGTCCGCCGACCGAGCCAGCCGCGTCCTACAATGCACGTGGTGCGTACTCTGCGCTTCTATAGTACTGAATTGTTTTCTCTCCCCTCCCTGCTTCTGCACGATGATCGCTGCAGCGTCTGAAACCCCGTTTAAAGGTGATTCGCTTGAGACGCACTCATTCTGCTGTCCGCAGCATTTCGTGAACTGCTCGGCGTTCGCGAGTGTACTGTAGTGCGAAGCTGGTTGTGTTTCCCTCAGGCTGTTTATTTTTCTCTTGAGAGAAGTATAATCTTTCCGCAAGCTCAGTGTTTCCCTGCTGTGCACCTGAAAGCACTCACCGGTGTGCGTCACCGGGAGGTGCCCGGAAACGTAGCATTCGGCCTGTCAGTGTCTCTCGTGATGTGACGAAGGCTTCCGCTGTCACGAAGGTGGAAAGCGACGTCGGGAGGTGCATCGCAAACAATCCGCTTGGTGTCCAATGAGCGAAGTATATGTCGTGCCGGAGTCTTCAAGACCAGCGAAGCAGAAGGCGCGCTGGTCGTACACGACGTAGACGACCATCGCCCACGTGCTATAGCTTCGCGTTTAGGGCCGACGGCCTCAGCCTGACTGTGAAAACACAATAAATTGTTGTTGAGTGAAACACGGATCCACACTGAAGCAGTGCTCTCGCTCGTAACATGCTGGGCGCGAAATTGCTTGCACGCTCTTGTCCGCTTGCCTGTAAATGTAACCGCATGATGATACCAGTCCTGACACCCCGTGCAAAATATATGGTGGGCGCAGTCGGTGAAGCGAAGCGTGCGCAGTATTTAGGGTCTCACGTCGGCACGACAGGTGTCAGTCACTCCCGTTTTCCGCTGCCTTCCTTGTAACAGGTGGGCCATGCTACAGTGTGCAGCAGAGGGTCAGTTGCGAATGCGTGAGGGTAGATGACGCTGCATGCTCGTACCAGGCTCGGCGCATCTGCTTTGCGGAGTGTCCACGGACCGATGCGCCGGAGCTGAGGGGTTTGCCTTTCCACCAGACCAGGTACATTCGTCGAACAGTAATTACTTATACGAAGCGTCCCTGATAACATAGTCGGCCCGCAAAGAGTTAGAGAACGCTATCGACCGTTGTGCGGCCTTCCGCTCCACGTTACTTCGTCTAGGAGCGGAAGTGTGGAGCGGCTTAGTAATGTTCGACGCCTCATCAAACTTACTTCCTCTTGACCCTGAGGACCACGTGTATGATCATTGACTGCCCGGTGACACGGAAAGCTGACGGAAGCGTCGTGGGAGCTGAAGCCTGAATGGTGCTAGTGCATTCCCCAGGTAACGGGCAGGCCATGTTAGACGCTTTGCTGTGCAGCAGAGGGTCAGACGCGAATGCGTCAGGGTAGATGACGTGGCATGCTTCTACCAGGATCGGCGCATCTGCTTTGCGGATTGTCACGGACCGATGCGCCGGAGCTGAGGGAATTGCCTCTCCACCAGACCAGGTGCATACGTCGAACAGCAATTATGTATACGGAGCGCCCCTCATAACATGGTCGGCCCGCAAAGAGTGAGAGAGCGCTATCGACCGTCGTGCGGCCTTCCGATTCACGATACTTCGTCTAGGCGCGGCAGAATGGAGCGCCTCAGTAATGTCCGTTGCTAGCTTAAACTTACTTCCTCCTGACCCTGAGGACCACGTGTACGATCGTTGACTGCACGGTGGCTCGGAAAGCTGACGGAAGCGTCGTGGGAGCTGAAGCTTAAGTGGTGCCAGTGCATTCCCCAGGTAATCACCGCTTCAGCGAGCAATGCCACATTGTTGTGCAGCCATCGAAGTCACGCGAGTCAATTTTCGTCCCTTTGTTCGGCGCTTGTGTCCCGGCATTCTCTGCTGCGCAGCCCCTTGGCTCCCCGGAAGCGAGTTTCAGCGGCGATGCGTTATTGCAGTGGAGTCGTACATAGCAGTGGGAAAGAGGGGACCGGCTGCCACACACTTACTTATAGAGAATCTCGATTAGATTCCAAGCTCGCCAGAAACAAAGCCTTCACTGGTGCACCCCGCCTTGTCCAATTGTTTGCTGCGAAATTCTACAAGCGGAGTAGCCTGTGCCGCAACCACGGCGACGGTGTCTTTGCCCGTCTTCTCGACAGCGGGAAGTCTTCACTATAAAGCTCACTTCGCGTGCGAAGTTAGTTTCCTTCACCGTGTCGCCCCCTCATATGTAGCCGTTGAACGGAGGACGCAGCGCGGCCGGTCACACGTTGGTACCGCGACGTCCTCGGTGATCCTCCTTACGTTCAGTATATTCATATCTTGGACTGCCGATACAAGGAAGCCATTGCGTCCTAACCAGTGCAGCGACGCAGTCGCGTTCCAGTGATCGCGCTCAAGGCTGCTGTGATTCCGACACCAACTCCGCATTTGTAAAAGGCTCGCACCTGCTCCTGGAGGGCCAGTGGACACAAGTCACCGGTCTGTATGATTTGAGGCACAGCTGGTGTGGTACCCAGCACTCGAAAATGCTGTTCCCTTGCGGAGTCAGTCGTTACTGCTGAGACCGAGTGTGCAGAAGCCTTCAAATAATGCATGTTGTAGACGGTTACACAGTGCGGAGCGCTCTCCCGCAATGTAGGGTCGGCTGGGCGTCTGCGAGACTATTCTGCCTGCTAACGTATATTCCAAAACATAGGTTGTGCGCCCGCGGAGAGTCCTTTACACGGAAGCTCCAGCGCTCCCTGCAAAAACGACGTGTACGCAACAGCTCGCACGTCAACGTCTGCCGTGCCAGTGCAGCCAGCCAGCTTCGGTCTTCAATCCTCCCAAAGCTGCCGGTGCTGGTGGATCCACTAGGCCGAACTTGATGTGCTGGTAGCTTTCTGTAGGGCGCAGCGACATCGTCAAGGAGGCATGCATTTTGTCGCCTGAAAGCGTCAGACTCTCTCACCAGAGATTGTCGTCCCGTGCTGTCCAGACGCTGTAGGAGTTCCAAGCGATCGGTGTCGGTGTAGCGTTCACTCAGTCAGTACTCTCTCAGCTCTCCACAGTAGCGCTCATTACTTTTCCCGCGCTACTGTTTTTTGTGAAGGACGCGTGGCAGTGCTCCGGAGAAGACGCTCGGGCACGCTGATGCCCCGGGTAAAATTCTGGAACATTCAGGAGACCAGCGACAGCGAGCGACTGAGTGACGTCCGCCACACGCAGGTGCATAGATAGAGAGCTTCGGGCATCTAGTGTTAAGCTGATGGATCCTAGGACGTCGGCTGCATACGTAGGCGGTGGATAGACCTCGCGTGTAGACTTAGTTTAACGACAACCAGCCAACAAGGATTCGCCGGGCGCGAAGTACCGTTGGCACTGCTGATACTCGTGCGCTGGATGCTGGTGCACACTAGCAGCGGAGGCGAGCGCCGAATCTGTGCGTCGCCCACATCACCTAGATCACCAGACGAGTTGTGGTCCTTCAGACAATGGAAAAGATGCGGATAGCCTGAGAGAGCCACTGACGCTGCGTCAACTCGATAGTGCACCGTCTAAAGCTGTTATCAGGCAGACATAGCGGCTATCTGTCACGGAGAGCAGAGTGTGCCTGGAGACTACAACGCGGCACGCGGGGTGAAAATACAAGCGCCTCAGCCGCTGTACAAACTATAGAATTCCTCCGGAGAAGCTGCCAGTAAGCTGCCCCCGAGCGTACGCTTTCCTTTCGCATTTTGCGTGGTTGTCCACGTCAGAGAAGCGTTTGCTCTGAAACGGGGAGGAACGCGTCAGTACGCCACACGTGAACCCTCCACGAAGCCCCTCGTGCGAGCGTTCAGGAGACAAAACGCAAACAACGGCTGGCGCAACATTGTGGCGTAGAATGCAAGTGTATCAGAATAGCGCTTTGCCCGGCGAGACGCCTCCTTGAGCGCAGTGGCCCGCCCTGGCTTTTTGAGGGATTACAATGACACAGCTGCAGACCTACGTTCACAATCACAGCGCGACGGTAATAGGCGCACCTCTGCAGGTGTGCATGCGGCAGCCTCTCTTCGCACTGGAGGAAAGCACGCATTCCTCCTGTACTGTTGACATTACGTCTTTTGAGTTGGTTTTTTTGGAAGTTTGTTCAACACGTACATTCTTTGCCGTTGCTGTATGCTGATGCTCTCCCCGCGACCGCCTGCCGCGCACGTGTTTAGCTCTCCTCAGCGTACGCGCTTGCCTTGTCACACGCGCTCCGTCCTTCAGCTAGATCAAGCCCAAGCGTTGTGCCTCCACTGTACGAAGGGACCACTAATCACTAAACCCAGAAAGAGCTGTACTTCGCGTGAGAGCCGCCTGCGGTACTATCGGTGAGAGGAGTATGTTCTGGTGCACGTAAGCACGGGCGCCAGGCTCACGTCCACAGCGACAACAGCGAGCATTAGGCTTGTGTTTCGCCGCGTTCTTTGCGACGATCATGCGTTGCTGCGGCCAACTGGCGGTGAAACAGCCGCGCTGCGCAGAGCGGCAACAATAGGAACTGCGTAGATATTACAAATAAAAAGAACGATCGCATACTCTAAGGAACTGCTGCGCCAACTGCCTCTGAGTGATTGAGCAGGGCGCGTGCGCCCGCAGAAAGTCAATCCTCAGCGAGTAGGCTCTCTGCAGGCAATAGCGCTACAGCCTGCCAAGACAAGCCGCATCCGATATCAGCTTGTTGCGCATTTGTGTCGTTAGCGTGAAGCGCTGGGAGACAAGTGGTGCATGCAATCGTGGAAGGCGTCTGAGAGGCTCCTCACACGTAGCGACGACGGCAATCGGCAGCATAGCCGTTGCCGAGGTCCCTTATTGGACAGCCGTCCGCCTCCGCAAATATGCAGCAGACGCCTGTCTGCCGCTTAGAGCGTGGGCACAACGGCTGCTGCTTCGGCCGCTTTTGTAAACTAGTGTGGGCAAGAGGCCACGACAGCGAGTTGTACGCAATTATATCCTGCACCGAGCTGTGCAGTCTTTCCACTCGCCACTGGCGAGTTTCTCGCCGAAGGGACTGCAGCGTCTGAAACGTTGCTGAAGGCCGTGAGCTGAAAAAACCTTTATGCGGTTTCCATTATCTCGTAATTAAATCGTGCGGTCGCACTTTTAGGAGAAGGCAAGACAAAGGAACCAACGTGACATGTCAGAGGTATGCGGACAGCCACAGTCGGTGCAGGAAGTAAATCCACCTTACCTGAGGATCATCATCAAAAATTCCAGGGCAACCGCCGGTGATCTCGTTCGCGCTGAGAGATCCCCTAGCTGGCGCTCATCACGAAAAACCACGCGGTCTAACATTGCGACGTTGCAGCTCACACCAGGATAAATGCGCGTTCGTCCTTGGTTGCGTTCTGCTCGCTCAGTCGCCAGCAGCGCCCATCCCACATTGTGGGCCTCGGCTGGACTGGTGGCAGTAAGGAGAGAAGGGATCGTGACGTTATGATGTATCCCCGCAGCATTGGGACGGAGCCTACGGAGTAAGACGACGTAGATAATCCAACAGCTCTTTAGTGCCTGTAACAAGGAGCAGAAAGGGGCGGATATCCAGCTGCAAAATCAAGCCTACGGTGCCCAGCCCTGCTTGGGCACAGGCTAGTTACAGCGGCAAGTCTCGACATGCGGGCAAACCTAGTGTTGTACATGCGTGACCCTGCCTTAGGAAGCCGCGATCGCTGCGGATGGCCGCTGCGTCGGCATAGCGCCACTTTGTATTGCAGCAGTTCGCCCTCAAGGTAAGTACCTTTTCATCGGTCCGCACGATTCAGTGGGCGAGTTCCACCGCGTACTTCTCCAGTCGTTCCTTCACCGTCTCCAAGTCAGCCAATGTATTGCAAAAAGCATTTAAAGCACGCCGACTAGGCGTTAGTATGCGCAGCCGACGGCGCCCCACGACTATCGAGCAAACTACGTCTTCCTCACCGCCGAGGCTCCAGAAGCCTTTTAGCGACAAAAGGAAGGCGCAGCACAGCTCGTGGGAATCTTTAGTAGCGGCATACCTGTCTTCGCCCGTGCCCGCGCTACCTACGATGCCAGACCGTAGCACCTAAAAAACCACTCTTCCAATCGCCGAAGCAAGCGACGCCTGCTGCCTCCCCGCCAAGCGCAGCGCAGTCCGGGAGCGCGGTCGGCGCCCATACCAGCAAGCCCCAGTGTCACCGGATATAGGCGCGGTGGCGAATCCTGCCAGGCCAACAGGACTCGGTCCGCGCACCCAGGGGTGTCCTGGCTATCTTCCGGATGCGTCGCCGCGTAGGATTTGCTTTGAGCTTAGCGGACGTGTCTGCAGTTTGTACCACTCAGACTGTAATAATCTCCCATACGTGCCATATTCGACGCCGCACTTAGACGACGTCTACGGCCGCGCGACGCCTAGCTGTAGCGCGCCACCTGTGGCTCCGTGCAATCCGCCACCAAGGCCTATCACGTCTGCAGCTGCACAAACATTCACTCAGGCCGGCATGGCCTTACCTAAGTGCCATACTCGTTGTCGCACTCAAATCACGTCTGCGACCCCGCAACATGTAACCTGAGCGCTCCATCTGTCACTTCACGGAACCCGGTTCACTCCATCACGCCGCATCACCTCTGCAGCTTCCGAGCCTGCTGTAAAGGCAGTAGCGGGAGGCGGTACGCGCTGCCGTCTCCCCAGCAGAACGTGAACTCATACACGTGAGCCCACGGTACCCAGCCGCATGGTTACTACTGCAGCTTGTCCTGCTATGGAGTAGGAAAACGCGCTGCAGCCTTTCTTTGTGGCAGCTCTACAACGACAGGCGAACGTCAGCAGCACAGCCGCCGGGTCTTGACTCAAAGCTATTGTATCGTCAAAGGGTGTTTCTGGAGCCACGGGTGCACGCACGCGGACTCGGGTGCGCCTCCTCGCTTAGCACAACCGCAGAGGCACAATTCTACGGCTGGAAATCACCGATTCAACTGTAATGACAAATGCGATAGCTTGCGCTGGATTTCGCTGTTTGTAAAACACGCAGAGGCGCAGTTGTCTGTTCGCATTGAGCCTCATAGTGTTTTCGTGACCCGCCATGGAATCTCAGATTCGGCATCGGACCACGGGACTCGCTCCAGGAAGCGCTAAACCCGTGGCGAGAGAGGCAGCACGTGTAAGCGGAAGCTACGAGGGTGCGTCCTGCTACGCGGCTGCTACGTGGTTTATGCAATATACACCGGTGTTCCCATTGCCTGAAAAGCCCAGCGGTGCAGGACCAGCACCTGCTTGAGAAACACCGGCCCTGCCCTGTCAAGGACGGCAGACAGTTCGTGCCACCCCCCACAGCACGTGGGCCGGTGTAGAAAGCTCACTTTTAGCTGCGGAAGTCACACAAACGGAATAGTGTTACGCATGCAGACAGTACAAGGCCGAAACGTCGGCCTCAGCACGTGTCAGGACTGACTTTCTTTCGCTGTAGACCCACCAAAGCAACCTCGTAAGTCCCGCCATCAAGCCCAAAGTGGAGCGCTAGTCATGTCGAGCCTGTGGATGGTCCTTCACGTTTATCTACAGCCTGTGCAAAGCAAACAGACGCGGCGCCGGAGCAGACGGCCTTCCTGTTACAGCCGCACCCTCACGCCGATATGCCTGTACGATTCGGGGGTTGTGTACCGCTGCCACGCGGTCATACAGAACCCGATGTGAAACGGAAGTGTCAAAGACGCTAAATCGGGCTGTGAAGCTGCGCCGTTTCTCTCAGGAGATGCCGAAGTACGAGAGCCGTCGAGCCGGGCCTAGGCGCAACTCTGTTGTGCTTAGTAAAAGCTAATACAGGGCGGATACCGCCCCCCCGACTGAACGCATGCTTCTCTCACAGTGTCAGGTTCGGCTTGATTCGACAACCGTTCTGGCACGAACCAAGGTTTGTCTTGAACTTGCGGACTGATCCTTGTTAAAAGCGGCTCGACAACCCCCGCGCACAAAATAGCTTTCAGTGTACAGCGAGGCGGAGCCGCGTTGCGACAAAGCGCTCTTTGTATATGCACAGCAAGAAGCAATGATGAGGAGCAGCTGGCGAGCATCTTTTAAGGCGGTAGTGTACACCTGCTCTGCGCGTGACGGGGTTCACGCGGCCGCTCAGGACGCGCTGGCGCAGGAAAAGTATTAGTGGGCCGCACCAGTATGGGTGACGCACTGCGCCGCAAATTTTCTCCAGTACAGCATCTCTGACTCAGATACGATCGGGGGTTCCGGTATCGAGACGTCAGCCTCCGACTACTGCCGAACACGCCGGAGCCTAGCTTAGCGCAAGCGAATGCCTCCGGGCTACTGCAGTCATCCAAAGGCGCTCCTCAGCCGCGCGCAGCCGCGGTCGTTGTACTCGCCGGCTGTTTGCTTTACCAGCCCCTCCGTTAACGACTGGCAGGCGATTGCTGTTCCCTAGAGAAGCCCGTCACTATACAGGCTGTCGTACTGGTGTACAAATACGTGACCTGGCCCCCGTTCCACTGTGTCGAAGACGTGCATCCCGCTCCGTCATCTGCGGCCTCAGCTTCTTGCAGCCGTCTGCTCCGCCAGCGCCCTTAGAGGCCTACGTTGTCCCTATGCATCGGATCTATCCGGGAGTTCAACGCGGTGACTTTGCACTTTTCGAAAGAGCTCTTCAAGGATGCCACCCAGGTCGGACGCGACACCGTTTCTAAGCGGACGTTCTTTTCCCTGGCTTACCACCCGGCGCCCTGGAGCGCAGGCTCCAGGAATCGTGATCCCCCGCTCAGCATGCTTGGGGTGCATCCGAGCAAGCGCGCGCCTGTCCAGCAGACCGTTACGGGTTGCACTGCCGATCAATTTACAAACGTGCAGTCTCTTCGTCTTCACGACTGTGCAAATCATATCGGCGCTCCCTCCTGCTGTAGAGGGCAACTGCTGTTATATGATGCAGTACACGTCTCGGTGTCGCGCGAAGAGCTTTGAACCCCGCGCTGAGCGTGTCCTCTTGGTCGTGCGCGACCTGAAGGACCCGCAGCCAAGCCAAAAGGCGAAGAAGAACCTGCTGCTGTTCAAGGGAATGCCTCCCGAGCGGCGCTGTTCAATGTTCAGTGCCACATAGCCCTAGCACCTTCGTATTACTAGAAGTGGTCAGCAGGATGCCGGACACGGTCTTCTGGCCTGCCTCGGTATAAGTGCAAAATGATCTACAAGGGAGCACAGCAGTAGCACACTGTCTTTTTATTTTTGAACGCCTACAAGACTAACGATGCTCTTGTCAATTAGGGCGCGTGAGTCCCATGCAGCGGGAAATGAGATGGGCAATCGCGCATGTCGTCTCGCGGGGACAAACCTACCATTGTCTGCAAGTGATAGTCCCAATGGGCAGAAGGCTGAGGTGATACAAAGGCCACCAGAGGACACGGGCTGTCTCGGGAAGCAGACGCTTAGATCCCCATATGTTTTTCTGCTGCCGCCACAGCGAACCTTCCGCACATAGTAGTGGGGCACCGTCACCAGCTTCAGAGGGGCTTTCGGACAGTTCCCCCATACGCAGTATAGTTTGAAGAAAGGCTCTGTATTGCGGTGCCTGGTGTGGTCTACGTACCCGCAGATGCCAGCGTCACCCACGAGAGGCAAACAAGACTGACGGCCTCCCTAGGTTCAGTCTGAGCGATGAGGAGTCTCCGTACAGGAGTACCCTCGAAAGACGCAGCCTTGGATATCACGCCTTCGCAACAGGCCACATGTCGAGACCTGGACATGACGTCTTGATCCACCGGTCTACAGTGGAGACCAGCTCGACAGCAGGGGCATGCTGCAGAGCAAAGGAGGCTCTCCTGAATGCGCCTAACAACCGGTGGTGCTGCGGTCGTCCCGTCGCTTCGGGCGCATGAGGGGGCGAAGTCGCGCGGAAGTCTTTCTTGGGTGCTTTTACCTACACCATATGCGGGGTTGTATCTGATAATCTTACATTCCGTGAGGGAGGCTCTAGAAGATGTAGACACGTTGTCCCTCTCCTTCTTGTACACCCGAAGCATGGGCTAACGCTGACACGTCGAATATGCTGAAAGCTCTGATGGCCGACAAGCGTGAGAAGAACTGGGAGACCTTGCTCATGTCGTAACGAAGGGTCTCGTTTTCACATCTGGCCTCTCTCGGCAGTGTTCCGTACACGCAGGCGGACCTCTACCACTGCGAAAAGCTACACGTTCCTGAAACTGCAATCAGCAACGGTTCGCCACAAATTGTAAACCTTTCCTTTCGCGCTATCGGCTCCCGCGAAGCATTCATCCAGGAACCGCGGTCCTTCGTTTTCCTGCAGTGCGATATGGCATTAAAACACAAACGCCTTGATCCTTTCCGAGCGCGTCAAGAGCCTCAGTCCATCGTGGAGCAGCCACGTTGCCGTGTGGTGATTCCCCCAAAAGTGGACAAGCGAGCTCCTCGACGGCTAGACATCGGCGTGTCGCTCAGAATTACCACGAGTGGCTTGTTCAGAGCTGTGCCACTGTAGCCGGGATCTCGTGTTGTGTGTCACTATACAATGCCTCTCGGTTCAAGCGACTCCCTGGAAGAATAGATTTGCTTCCTTCTCCACGTGACCGGGCTCCGTGTTGGACCCCAAACCATCCTGGTAAGTCTATATCTCTCCATTGCTACCCGTTTTGTAGGCGGGTTGGCACAAGGATGTTCCAGAAGGCGGCGTCCCTCGACTCAGCTTTGCATATCTGTACAAAATGCGCCTGTTTGCTTGATCGTCCTTGTATTTTGAATGTTTGAACGTCTGCACGAAGCTGGCAGCGAACAGGAGGTGGAGCTTTCGCCTCTGGAGCGCCGTATGTAGGTCTCTATGCTCAGGTGAAATTCGGCGATGGGAGAAGCCAGCTTAAGCGCAACGCTCGGTCCGTCAAGTAATGCGGCCGACGCAGCGAAGCAATTTGCAGGAGCAGGCGAAATTTAGGTATCAACATGTAAAGTAGACAAAGGTTGTACAGCCCTCTACGATCACCTCCGCTGAAAACCAGCTGGTATATCGTTTACTCCCCTGGGGGAGTCAACATCAGAGGCCGGCAGTGCGCTCACCAACATGGGTCGTCAGGGAAGATCGGCCGCCGCACGACGATACATTTTGCATTCGAAACACGTCCCACAGCGTCCCACAGCACCACTGACCATATCGGCGGCCAGCAAAGTAGCATGCCTTGCGCGCAGCCAGAAAGGCCGGGCGGATGCAGAAGGACGGCACGCAATTTGGCGTTGACACGGTACCCAGCTGCGTCATGCTGCAGAGCGACTCCGTCCGGCTCATGCAATTGAACAGTGACAAGCAGTGCACTGATGTCGAAGCTAGCGCTTCCAGGTGGTCTACAGGTTCTGTTCCGTTGACGTTCTCCACCCGGCCGCGGACTGCGTCGCTAGGCTTTCATGGTGCAGAGGTACGACACTACTCAGTTTGTCCCCTGCTTTCAAGCTCGGGTAAAATCTGAAATGGTGGGTCACAGATCAAACCCAAGGCAAATGCATAAGTGAGAGAGGTTGGTACACAGGGGTACCAGCCGCAATAAGAGCCAACGACTCTTTTCGCGGGTCCGCCTGAAACGTCTCCCGAGGCACGTGTTGGATACGGATCTCACGCACCGTGTTCGCGTAGCGTCTATATTCAAAACCCGCAGGAGGGCATGGAGGGCCACGACAGACGTTATAGCTTGCCTCGTTCGTCAGTTCGCCTTTGTGATGCGCAGCTGCAGCCAGACTCGCTTCTGCGTCCTCCGAAGTGATAACGGGAAGCCGGTTGAGCAGCTTTCGAGGCCGCTCCCCCCCCGGCTCTCAGTGGCGCATCCACAGCCTGGGCAGCTCGTGTGTTCTTTTTCGGTCCCCGCGGCCGTTGATATCGCGTCCTAGTGATTGTACGCCACATGTGCTTAGGCCTGTTGCCACCAATCGCCCACCCGTGCCCAGCTACAGTCAGCATTGACACCGGACGTGCCACGAAGTTTTGTCTCGTAAGCAACTCGCCCAGGGTTTGCAGACCACCCTGTTTCGCGTCCAATACGTCTCGCCTGCACGGCAAGTACCGCAGCTCAACGCGGACTCGTTTCCACAGTGTTCTGCTCGGTGCCAATGGGCTGCTCCAGCGTCTTCCACGCCGTCGGCTCCATCTGTCCAGCTGCCTGTCAAGCGTTTGGTCCAATGCCGCCGAGCTGCCCCGGGCATCCCTCGACTTGTCCCACGCGAAAGTACAACAAAAGTACGCCTGCTGCTAGGAGGCGCTGCACTCCAATTGCAAGGACAGCGGTGCTAAGGTGCAGCCCGTTCGTTTTCTGTGGGCCGCCTCATCCTTTATTTGCTGCCACCTATCTGTAAGCCTCGGCTTTTCCTGCGTGCCAGTGTTCTGACGTTCTGTGTGCGTTGCCCTCTTTACATCGCTATAAATCCGGCCACAACTGTGGCTGAGCGTAGCTCACCTCCTTCTGCGTGTAGGCTCTTCCACACAAAAGTAAATCATGTTCACACCTATACACGGAGTCGCACACGCAGTCTAAGCCGGGGCTGCCAGACCTCTTGCTATGTCTGTTCTGTTTAGCTCCAGCAGAGGGTGCCGCGCATTCCAGACTGTGCGCTGCGCTGATCTCTCGGAGGATCCGCTGGCTGCCACTACTGCAGTCTTCAAGCCTTGAGCTGCGCTGCACAGCGGGAGCGAGGCGAATTGGCTCGACGTCCGAGACGAGCACACGCATGGTCTCGCGGCACCGGACGAGGGTCCGAAGGAGGACGTTCTATTCGCATTCGTACGCCGCCTCGACGGAACGCCGCGGCCCACAGGACCACAGTACGGCAGGTGCTCCACAGCCCGAACGCTGTAGAGGTCTCGGACCCCGCCGCTCGGAGACGAGCTGCGCCAGCTCTTACTTTCCCGTACCGTCACAGCTCCTCGCGAGCAACGGCCAAAAGTGTGCACGTATCCGCGCCGGAGCTGTGGGGACGTGCGTGCTCAAGACCGGAGAGCTCGTCGGCAGGGCTGCTGCAGCTACGTGACAGCCCAAAGCGATCGTGACAGTTTCTCGACGCCGTAGAGAACCAAGACGCCGCGGCTGGCCTTCCGCAATACTAGGGCGCTCCTCCCTTTGTCAGCTGTCTCTGATGTGCGGGGCAGATGACACAAAGACAGCGTCTTGCATGGAGCTTCTACATTCAATGAAGGCATCCTGGCGCCGGGGACGTCTGAGGTGAATCGATTTACGCGTGGTGCTCGTCTGCCACGGGTACACCACATGAGAGGGACCCGCAGAGGGCACGTCTCCTGCGGTTCCTGCCGCACATTTTAAAGTTTGGAGGCGCTCCGGTAACACCACTCATGAGCCTGTGGGTTCTGTGATCCCGCGCAATTTTCTGGGAGGGACACTGCCCTAGAAGCGCCGGCTTGGCACCCTCGCCGCAGGGCCCATAGAAACTGGCGCGCTCTTGAGGTACAAGCGCTCCAGGACGCAAGCGAAAGTGCACGGCTGCGAGTTCGAGCAGCGAAACTTTATCCTTGCTTGAAGGCGGAGCAGACGCGATCACAGGAACATGACTTCAAATCGTCGCGTTCGCTTCCTGAGTGGCTGCAGAGGTCCCGGCTAGACCGCCCGGGAATCGGTACCTTCTGTGAACGGGCGTGCATGCACTCTACCTCTAGTGCTAGCATACAGAGGGCACAGGTGCCTCGAGGACCGCGTTTCTCCCGCACCACTATCGAAGAGGCACACGAGTCTCTGCCACACTCCCACAATCAGTCCCGTACGTCCCTAGCTCATCGGCTCGTGTACAGAACCCCGCCCCCGCGCCGCCCGCTGCGGCAACCATAAGAGCGCTTATCGTAGTTCACGTACTGGTGTCACCTCGATATGCTAGAGCACCGGCGTAGCTTGTGCTTGGGTGCCATACTCACGCGCCATCTTACCCACTTAGGAACGTGGTCACCCCGAAGAAGCTGACGGTGCCGGAGTAAGCAAGATATAGCGTACGGCCAACCAAGTGCACGGTGTATGCGAGCGTGATGCAATAGCGAACCTGCTGCAGAGCGGAAGTGCTAGGGCCTCGCGAACGCCTTGTGCGCTTGCACGACGTTAACAGAATCATTTGATCGATGTTGGCACAGGCCCGGAACGAAAGACCACATGGCGACACGCAGCAGCAAGGGCAGTGGTTTTCACAATGGCAGCATATAGGGGGAAGTGCACGAGATCCTAGTGGACCGCGAACACCACGAGATCTGCACCTTACCGCTAGCTAAAATAAGGCCGTGTGCGCAGTATACTGATTAAGCGTCACACAGCTTAGCAAATGTCGCCATGCAGGAAAGGCGAGTAAGGCAGAAAACGGTGTGCGCCAAAGGGTCGTTCGTGTCACATCGCTACCAAGGGGATAAGGCTTGCAGAACGCGCGTGCGCAGCTCGAGTCCGGACAGGAGGCAGTTGGAACCTGTCGCAGCGCGTGGGGCCTAACGGAGTGCGGCGGACCCACCTGGGACGAGTCTGTGCAACGCGAACCCACTGACGTGGTTCTGCGCCGGACCAAGCCGCACGCTGAACTCACGCTTCTATCATTGAGGCAGCGGTTCTCGCCGCCGCCGCTTATGCACTCGCAGAAGCTGTCGCTCCTTTCTGAAGGTTGAACAATCTTCCAAATTGCGCGTGTCCCGCCTCTATGCCAAAATGCCTTCGGTTGTACGTAGCGGCGTCGTCCTTGTGGCGCTACAGCGTGCACGGGCCTTTACCGTCGTGTGCGTAGTTGCTTTTCGAATCACGCGATGGCAGGGGCTCCTGCCAAGGTTCGCTTCGTCAGGTAAGTACTGTTCTTCTCCCCTTGCTCTCGATCGTCAGCCGCTATCCCTTCCACCTATTTACCGGCCAACATTTTCGCAGGCTAAAACCCCGTCCAGCCGGAAACTCCTTTGTAAACGTCTATTGCTCTCACGCTGTCGCTCATGCTCGTGCGTTGCGGCTGTGTCCGACTGCTGCGAGGACACGCCCGGCAGACCTGCCGCTGATAACGGCTGCTGGACACAGCCATTTTCGTGCCATCTACAACAGCGCGCAGACCCCTGGTGAAGGCTGAGCGCAGGCAGACAGACGCAGCGGTAAGCGCCGTTTGCCCTCAGGGAAGGACACATCTGTTTCCTGCTACCGCGGAGGGAAGCAGAGCCCTTCCACTGGTAGAACGTCCCTTTTTACCCGCGATGATTTAGCGACGTGCGCTACGCTGGTATAGCCAACCACGAAAAGGCGAGAGCTGCTATCGCACAGCCCGCGACAGTCAGCGGGGAGGCGGAACTAAGGATCGGCCGTGCGCTGGACAGGATTGTACGTACACAGCAGTGTGCACACATAGTGCTGCCACTGCAGCACCTCTACAGCTGCTGCACATCACAGCTCGCTAAAATCTAAGCCCTATACCCTAGACCCTAAACCCTAAACCCTAAACACTAGACCCTAAACCGTAGACCCTAAACCCTAGACCCTAAACCCTAAACCCTAAACCCTTGAACCCTAAGCCCTAAACCCTAAATTGATGCGATCGGCCGTGCGCTGGACAGGATTGTACTTACCCAGCAGGGTGCATGCATAGTGCTGCCACCGTTGCACCTCTACAGCTGCTGCATATCACAGCTCGCTAAACCCTAAACCCTAAACCCTAGACCCTAAACCCTAAACCCTAAACACTAGACCCTAAACCCTAGACCCTAAAACCTAGACCCTAAACCCTAGACCCTAAACCCTAAACCCTAAACCCTAAAACCTAAACCCTTAGCCCTAAACCCTTGAACCCTAAACCCTAGACCCTAAACTGGTGCGATCGGCCGCGCGCTGGACAGGATTGTACATACACACCAGGGTGCATGCATAGTGCTGCCACCGTTGCACCTCTGCAGCTGCTGCACATCACAGCTCGCTAAACCCTAAACCATAAACCCTAGAACCTAAACCCTAGACCCTAAACCCTAGACCCCAAACACTAGACCCTAAACCCTAGACCCTAAACCCTAGACCCTAAACCCTAGACCCTAAACCCTAGACCCTAAACGCCAGACCCTAAACCGTAAACCCTAAACCCTAAACTCTAAACCCTGAACCCTAAACCCAAAACCCTCAGCCCTGAATCTTAACCCCTAGACCCTAAACTGGTGCGATCGGCCGTGCGCTGGACAGGATTGTACTTACACAGCATGGTGCACGCATAGTGATGCCACCGTTGCACCTCTACAGCTGCTGCACATCACAGCTCAAACACTATCCAGCTGAAGGCTTTGCGAAGGGTCCGATTCGAACTGACGCCAGATGCGTGTAGAATGCGGCAAGTTTCGCGTACGCTGGTCCTCTGTGCCGCCCTCACGAGCGACCAACGAGCCGAACCAAGCTCACGTCAAGGGGCGATGTGACCGCGCGTGCAAGCGCTTCACGCATGTCGTATATTCTCTTCATTTGGGCTTCGTGTGCACGACCACCTTCGCGGTGCTGGAGACTGTCAGATGCAAGTGTGTCGCCCATGGGTGAGGTGGTGCCTCAGCGTTACAGGCCACGAATATGTGAGAAGTGCAGCCAAGCGGGAACGAGACTTACTTCTTGCTGTGTTACAGATGCAATGCTGTGCGGGATCCTTGTGTGCCGTATATCTAGCCAGCCGGCCTTACAGGTTCCGCGAGAATAACCCCTCGTGGCTAGAACACATGCAGCCCAAGCGCTCGTTAGCAATCTTCCGCGAATGACTATGGAAAACAAAGAGCGACTTCGTCGCCCGACCCCCTTGATAGACTCGGAAAGTGTGCCCATGTGGTTGACCGCCTACTGTAGGCGTGAATACGGAGAGGGCTTCTTTACTTTTACGGGCCGCATACGCTGGACAAAGTGCGGCTGGCACAATACGATTTTCATGTGTCTTGACAAGGAGGCGTGACCCCGCCGAGGCCCTCGCATAAGCAGCTTTATACTTCGGAGCTACGTCACGGCCAAGGAGCACATGAGGCACCCATCAACCATCACCGCGTACCAGCCTGCGGTGCGACATTTCGACAATGTGGAATAGTAGTGGATGAAGCGCCTGATGAGCACCTTCCAGTTCATCGCCGCGGTCTGTAATTATGCCTACGCTTCGCTTGCAGAGTACGTCCAGCTTGCCGGAATTCTACCGTGCAGCCGTCCCCGCGCCGACTTTTGCCTGGCGCGCGTACCGAAGTTGCGCGTCTATTTTGCAGGATCTATCGCGGTCGCAGTCAGACCCATCCGACCGAACACTGCTCCACGGGAATGCTGCGCGTTTGTACGTGTTCGCGGGACGTGGTCCTCTGTCAAGCCCACCGCCCTACGGCGTCGTAGTCGTAAAGGCGCACGCGCACGCAGAAGAATCCACGCGAACTCTACAGAGGCGCGTACAGCGGATCTTCTAAGGTGAAACACTCCGGAAAAGAAAGCCCTCCGGCAGAGCCTCGACTGCCTCTGTGCTCGCACAACGTTCTCTGCCACAGCTGATCGCTCACCACGAGGCCGCAGCACGACGCCAGCTGTGGGGACCTACGCCTTCGTAAGACAATTTCCCGCGGAAGTCCGAAACAGGAAAAGACAACGCAACAATACAGCACTCTCGGCTGTATGCTTCTTCTCCGGACACATGCGGAGTCGGACCCCCCTCCCTCTTTCATGCGGTGTTCAACTTTTTCGCAGTACAAATCACTATCCGGCGTATGCAATGCTCTGCTCTCTCCCAGCTTACCTCCTGTCAAAAGCATGTGCATTCCACCCTCCCGCCTTTCGGAACATTTTCAGGGCGGTTGAGCGCGCTGTTCCGCGCCAGGTCCGTGTTCACCTCACCAACCAGGTGCGCGCCCGGCCGCTTTCCTGTTGAAGCTGCGCTCCGTCGCTGTTCAAAGCTTCACCAATCCGCAGATCGTGCGCCTGCTCACCGCGCTCCTCACAAATTGCCAGGGCGCCACTGCACTCCAGTGAGAAGCCGCGTACTAGCTGGAGTTTAACATGTGAGTTGTGTCTTGGCAAGGCACCTCAATTACCTGAAGCCGGGTTCTCGACGGCGGGACCACAGTTCACAGTCCAGCTTGCCGCGTAGCGTGCGCCTGTGCACGCCGTCCTGGAGCTCCCCAAGGGTAAGTGCCAGTGGAGAATATTTGGACGGCGCCGAATTCTACAGCTCGTCGGCAAAAGGACGTCGTCGCCGTTTGCTTGTGGGGACGCCCCGGGTTTGCATTTGGACGCTGCATCGGTTTGGAGTAAGCACAGGGACCGTAAGCTTATGCACCGCCGTTGGTCAGCGAGCAAGTGTTGGTAGTAAAACAGCGTCTTTGTCAATGCAGCCTTGGCCCGGCTTGCATCTCACAGAATCGCCAATATTGTACACTAACCAGAACGGAGCCGTCGCTGCCGGGAAGCCGATTTCGTAAGCGCTGCGTGGAGTGGGCTATTCTGCGGGCCGGCCAGCGATGGGGGCTTCTGCAGTAGCTCCGACGGCGGTGAAGGGCCGGCCGTTATATAGAAATCATTGCCACTCTCTGCGCTTCTGTGCATTCCGCGTAAGACGTCACCTTGACCATAAACTCGAGGAGACAATCGCAACCCGTCGAAAGGCTGTCTCTTTCGTATCGCATCACATAAGCGAAGCACCTTTGGGGAAGCCTAATCTGAAGCTCCATCGTCTGTGACAGACTCCCTAGGTAATCGTCATTACCTATTTTCTTCTCCTGAAAAGCACAGGAGAGACCGCTTGCTTCAAGGGAATCAATCAGTTCCGTCTTAGGAGCGATTTCCTTGCTCATAAGGAGCTGCGAGATTTCCTTGGAAGAAAACGCTTTGACCAGGTAGCGGAAGGCGGATGCCTACACGACGTGAGGTTCTAGAAAGTTATAGGCGTACAGCAAAATTCCGGCCTCGCACGCTGAAAAAGCTCACTATTCGCAACACTCCGATCAAGCTCGCCGTCTTGAATTTAAATTGTGGGGCGTTCTAGCAGCGCGTGCTTGAAAACACATATACAAGGAAGACGGCCCACGCTGCTCTCCTCTCTCCACGCCGCGTCAGCCGCGCCGGCCGGCAAGTATACACAGGGGCGCCCGGGCGGAACTCGGCCGGCTTTCACTCAAACCGGAGGCCTTTCTGATTGCACCTCCTCAACGTCTTTCAATTTATCTACATCCTGGTAGAATTACATGACCTCAGGACTGCAACAGCAACCAGCCCAGCTATTGGGTCTCAAGCGCTCTGGCTGCGCCCTCGCCTTTGAGTCAAAACCGCTGTTCTGTCGGCCGCCGGATGCATGCGAGAGACGCAACCTTTCCAGCGTATTCACGGCTCGTTCTGGATTTGCGCCAGCTTGCCAAAACGAATGTGGTGTCTGGCTGATATGGGCACTGGGTAAACGGGGCGCTTCCGTGAAAGATACCGGCGGAGCACAAAGGAACACCTGTGAGATCGCAAACCCTTTCTGACCCGGTTTCATACGAGATACTGAGGCGGGCGCCAACAGTGGCACGATCTGCTACACTTGGATGCCGCGCTGGGGCGGTGCCGTCACCCATAGTTTGCTCTGCATCACCCCGTCCTACTTCGTCGGTGCCCTACGCTGGTCCCGAGCCCCCCCGTCTGCAGCCGCGCGTGGAACTCGACAGTAGTCGAGCCTACAGTTGCCCGAGTATTGCGTGGGAGGGGAGGTGGTCTCCTTTAGGAGCGACGCAAGCCTTTTCCGGCTCGCTCAGGCGCTCTGTCGTGCTCACCTTGGTGACCACTGCACGACAGGCAAGTCACCTTAGGTTCATGTCCTTCCTGAATGCTAGCAACAGACTTGTTGCTTTGCTTTTTTGGACACCTGCGCCGCTTCGACATGCTACTTCTTTCCGTTCGTGTGCGCGTCCTGTTGAAAGAGCGATCGTGTCTCAGGAGCATCTTTGCACCTACGTAGGCGTTGGGGTCCGGGAAGACGCGGATGGCAGGGGGCGAGGGGAGGGCCTGCTTAGAACCTACTTTTAGTTCTGGACCTCCACGGCCACGCCCCGAAGCTGTGGCCAGGTCTGCGCACACGGCTCTACTCCTTTGCCTGCGCATGATGTCAGTACAGAAGGCGAAGAGGGCGGCGGCGCCTAGTAGTGTGCAGCGCAATCTCAGCAGGGCGCGAACACGGAGCGCAGCAGAATGTGTCCGCCCACGGATTCCCTTAGAGAGCTCCATTTAGAATTCAATTTGCCCTGCGGCCGCGCGAGTAGGGGAACAGGAGTAAGACAGCCTCGGCACCTGAGCACGAACTTGCGGGGCTCTTCTCGGGGAATTAGCAGGCGGGCCAGGAGCTGGGCCACGAACCATTGCCGGCTCCACAAACAAAGGCCGCGCTACAAAACAGCGCAAAAAAACTCTCACTTTCTTCTGCAGAAAGAGTGTATGGAGTAGTAGGCCCCAGTGAGACGCTGAAGCTGTCTTTCGATGTTCTGCGCTTCTGTCGCCCTGCTGCGTCACGCGCCAGAGTGGCCTTCCAACGAATGTTTCGGGCGCAATTGACGCGAGGCTGCAGCACTACACGCTTCACCACTTCCGTCGGCTGCTTTGGTCTCTTCTCCGGAATCCTCAAGCAGATAATCACAGACAGCTGGTCTTCACGAACCGCGTTCCAACAGCGTCTCATAGTCACTAGTGCCGTCTTTACGGCAGACTGGTCCGTGAACGATCTGCAGCAGAGCACGGTAGCACCGTAGACCCTTGTGTGCATAGCACACTGAACGCGCGTCCGCCGCTTCGAAAGGCGACCGAAACGCGCTTTTACTGGAGAATGGCCGCCCTTGTATGCTTCGGCGGGGAGTCGCGTATACATGACTCGGCTCGTCCGGATGAAACAGTGAATAGCCCAGACGCAACATTTGCACAAGGGACAGTACGGGGACAGAGCCCGAAGAGAGCTACAGTGTTTTCAGGCGCTCTGCCTTTACAAACGTGGAGGAGCGAGGCAACGTTTTCAGGGCCATTCTGCAAAAACATTCGACTCAAGACCGGCCGGTACGAAGCTTCCGCTGAACACATGAGTAGGCGAAATCGTCAGACTCTTCTTGGCATAATACCGACGCTCGGAAACAGTCGTTCGAGCTCACACTCCGTCCTTACGCGGGCTCGGCGGCGCGCTGTCCCGTCAAGCGGGCCAGGAAGAAAGGAGCTCACCATAAGCGTCCTAGCGCACCCTGTGCGGCCGTGCAAACGAGGCGATAGAGTGGGTACGCGGAGCTTTCTCGGGGCCACTCAGCTTTGAACTATCAGAGCAACGCTGCAGGCGCTTCTACAGGTGTCAGCGGCTGGCGTATGCCTGGAGCCTTTCGGCGGCCGCGCACCCCCACTTGCTGACTCTTGTACGGATATCTCGTCGGCTGTCAAAAAGAAGACCTCAGGCGCTTTGCGGCCAGCGGTTCTCTTCGTGTGTCCAGTAGTATACTGTCCCGCGTGTAGGTTCAAAGGTGCCAGACGCTGTACAGAATACCTGCCCAGCTCCCTACTCCAGCCCATATACATCGCGTCAAAGGCGACCGTTCACCAGCGCTGACGATGGTATTTAGCGTGCTGCAAACAACACCTGTCGAGGAGCCTTCCAGAATGTAGAGGCTCTGCTGCGTAGTGTACCTCGTGTCCTGCTTTGACTCACCAACGTTCCCCACCGCTGACTCCCCAACTCTTGCGTAACGCCCCGCGGTAGCCAGGAGCAGGTTTCGGAACTCAACAGAGAACTGTAGGCTGTGTGCCAGCCACCTACATACAGCCGCAGGCGCGCCGACGGCGCCAGCAGCCGCTGCAAGTCTGATGGTCCTGCGGGCATGAATAGGACAGATGATACACAAGGGCTAGAAAGGACCGCTGACTCGCGTTTTCGGACTTGCTGGAAAGGGTCCTTGAGAAGGGCATAGGTAGCCTGTACCCACAGCATCTCTGCCGCGTGCGCAGCGGTGCGCTACGACAGCCTGCTTCCATAAAGCGCGCACGGTCTCTGGTTAGCATCTCTGATAATGGAAGCGTGGAGTGGTAGACGTCGAGGTGTGGAGCACGGACAGCTTCTGACTCGCGGGAAACAACATCGTCAGCGTACCTCCTTCTCCTTCATAATACACATGTAACGGGCGTGCGCGCACTTACTGGTGGGAGGCTCTGCAGGGTGTGTAGGCGCCGCCGGCGCTGTCGCGACAGCGTCAGCGATTCAAGCCGGTGTTCTAAAGCAAATGTCTGAAGATGTCCGTACACGCTGCGCTGAGAGCGCCTTTCTCCGTCTGCGTAGGACCACCGGCTATTTCTGCCTGGTCTGTCGCAAAAAGAGGTCTCTAACCTTCATTACCGTACTCCTCAATAGGGTTTGGCTCGGACTTCTGAAACATGCCCCGCGACGTTGCGCGCCGAAGTCTCTCATGACCCGCTGCTGACTGGGCACTTGGTTTCAAGAATTAGAGAGAAGCACCAACCCGTGATACGACATTCTGAGATAGTCTTTCATGAATTGTCTCCATTGATAAGAAGGGAGGCAAACACAGGCGAAGCAAAAAGGGGGCCCGTCGACGCGGTACGCTGTCGTGCGGGCGGAGCGGGTCGCACGGTGGTAGGCTTTTCTCCGTAGTGTCTCTCCCTGCGTTCACAGGCGCGCAGCTGTTTGATCTGCTTGGGTTTGGCTCCCGTAGGCCCACTCGTGTTTTCTTACTCTTGCTATGTCCCCTTTCAAAAATCATCTTCACCACCGTGCGCCACTACGTATATGTCATATCTGCTACCGGGGCCGTGCAAACTCGCGAGTAGCGTCTGTTGTTTGAGGTCTAGAAAATACCGCTTTTCCTTAAACGCTACGCCGAGATAGACGGCCTGCAGTCGTGTACTTCTTCAAGGGGTATCAGGCAAGTATCGGCTCACAAAATATCCGTGGCTCATCGAGGACAATACGCCGTTGCGTGCCACGCCGCGTGAATTGTGGGCACACCCTGTGTGTTCCTGGCCCTGCTTCGATCGCACCGCAGCTTCGGTTGCTGGGGTACAGCAAACAGGAATGGAGCGAAAACGTAGCAATGTCGAAAAACTGGATGACACTACATCGTCTTCGCACCGAAAAACACTGGGGATCGCTCTGGCTTTTACTGCGACGGATTCAAAACTGATGTGCTGCAACGCTAAGCACCAGCCGTCTGCCACTGGCTTGCAAACGACTTCGCCCTCGGCGAGTGCCCTGTTTTGTGTATCCAGCGTGCAGACATATGCACCTCCGCGCCGGACTCTTATTTACGGGCAGAACACGTCCCGGTGCCGACTCGCAGCATTGTATCAGTCACCTGCAACTTTGCTCATCTATTGGGGGACAAGGCGGAAACGCACTTGCGACGTGCCCGCTTTTGACTTCGCCCTTTACACGGTAGTTCCGCGTCCAGCGGGCCACGATATCATACCCTGCTGCTCCCACACAGGCGCCTGGCCTCGCTCGCGCGTGCGCTCAGTGGGCCGACTCGCTAGCTATATTCTACGCTGTGGCCCGCGGCCATGAGAATAACGCCGCAGGTGGTAAAGTATTTTTGCCGCGACTCTTGACGCTGCTCCTCCTTTGTATGGACCTCACGTGCTTGCAGGCCTACATACGCTCACTAGCATTCGCACGCTACCTGGTTACGGAGATTTGCCACGTGCTCACGTAGAGACTCCAGCTTCTTTTTGTCCCGAAGGTGAAACTCTAGTCCTCTTGGTCCGGTTGGAACCATGAAGGGCAAAGGCCTACACAATGTGATGGCTTCTTCGGTCAAAGTGAAGGCTTCGCTTGCCATTCTGCGACTCCGACGCTTGGCCTAGAGATACAATTCACTCAGCAATATACGGAGGCGGCACATCACCCTGCGAGCTCCTTGAAGAGAGTAATTGCAGGTTCCTTTGCATCACTGGGAGAACCTACCCCCGAGAGCGGTTCCAGCACTGTCGCCGGCAGTGGCAGTGTCTCCCGGTGGCCCTTGCCGGATTCCGAGAGTCGCAGCAGGCTCTACAAGCCTCTACCGCCCGCCAGGCCACGTCGACGCTGGTACGCACCGGGCTATATTTCCTCAAAGGAATCCCGAAAGATTTGCAACCTCCCGCAAATCGCCGTCGCTTTCAGGCGCACGACGCCATGCATGATGACTAACGTGTAAGATTCTTCCCTGGAGGTCCGAAGGCCGCGCACATTCAGGTGACGTATATGGCCTTGTGGGGCGCAGTTCCACGACAGCACAGTGGGAGGGTAACAAAAATCTGAGACAACTCTCGCCTTGGATGCCTTGCATCAGCGGCGCCCTCGAAGTCAGGGAACGCCCGGCTGATCGAGAGGAGCGCAGGGTCCCTCTCGCTCCGCCCTAGAAGTGCAAGTGATGAGGATGGTAGGGCTGAGGCTGACCTTTATCTGTGTCGCACACGCTCACGGTCGGCCGCACTCACCGGCATTACAACTCGGAAGTACTCACAGAGCAGCACTCTGCAACTAACGCCATCAGACTACCCGCGTAAGACTCAACAACAGAGAGCGCTCCTCCTGCTGTGCAGTGAACCATACGGAGAGGCGGTAACCAGTTCAACTGTGCACCAGCAGCGGTTCTGACGAACTTCAGTGCTTCCGTGGCTTGCAGAGAGCACATGCACGGCGCAACATATAAGGGTCCAAGAGTCTTGTCCCGATCATGCAAACTGCGAAATAACGTTGCAGCTCAGGCGCGCCTGCGCGACGCGGTTACAATGATGGTGGTCGCTAGGTAGCGCAGCGGCCGCCGGCCAGTCAGCTTGCAAGTCAGGAGCGCTTCTTGCCCTGCGCGACTAGCGCGGTTGAGTCCTCAGGATCATCTATTCACTGAAGTTGTCTTAGTCTGTGAATGCCATCAAAACAGGTGCCTAGCTTGAGAGCGCAGGCGCGTTTTCACAGATGGTACGGTGACCCATCCTGTCGAAGAACCCAGACCGGACTAGAAGAAAAGCCGTAAACCCACAGATGTGCTGAGCGCCTGACCGCACCTCTACAGCTACGGCACTCCGGCCGCGGGGACGCCCGCCGCGATGGCGTGACGTTCTTTGCTGATAAATCCGTCGCCTGTCACTGCCGCTCTTTTGTCTTTAAGTGGCCGCGCGGCGGCTGCGTTATATTTGTGCTCTGTCGCGGGCAACCCGGCCAACGGCCACCAGCAGCGCACGGGCGAACGGCATTAAGAAGATGGTCGCCGCACGGTTGCTGACGGGTCGGGTAGGGCTCTGTCTCAGTGAGCTCAAGTGGGATGGAATCCAGTCGAGGCGTCCACAAACTGACAAACCCCTAGCTGCAGCTTCTCACGCGTTGCGCGGATCCTCCCGGCAGGCATTGCCTAGGTGAGCCTGGCTATGCGGGCTGTGCAGGTTGCGCAGCGAGTATACCCAGCCTCCTTCCGCTCTTACATGTCGCTAGAGTGTCAGTGATGGGCGCAGACTGCATAGCGACGCACTTATACTAGGTACTCCTTCCTCGTGACCTCTGGGGGTGCACACGGGCTGTCGTCAGGAAGCAGAACGAATCTGAGTACCTCCGAGCTCTCCGGAAAAACTGGACTCTTTCACACAGAGAGAGCGCGAGCCAGACCGCCCACTTGGCGCCGCGGAAAAATAAGAGGACCTGTAAACTGTCTAGGGCACAGGAGCTGTGTGCGTAGGGACTGTTGAGGCCGACGAGACACTTACACCTGCATGCGTGTCTGCTATGCGAGGAAAAGGAGGACATTGCCGAGAACAACCACCGCGTACAAATATGAGGCCCTGCCCTTTGAAACGTAAAGCAGGGCGCAGACACTCTCTCACTTTTCATCCCCATCATTTCTCGCTCGGCTGCCTGAGCATCTTCCACTTCCTCCCGGCTGTACTTGCTGTGGATCGCAGTCTCCCCCAGCGTGCAATTGCAAAGAGCGACGGTGCGTCGAACCACAACTATTATGCACTTCCGTCCACTAACTACTCCACAATATCTTGTGCTTCGACTGCTTACCAACTGCGACCCCGTGTGCAGACTCCGTGTCGGTCCTCCTAGACACATACCGACAGAGAGATTTTGTGCGGAGCCGCCGCCCACGTTCTCATTACGAGAGAGGAGCCCCCTGCTGCTTTGAAGCGTTTCCAGGCGGGCTTTTGTTTCATCCTTCGCACTCCCGCGCGCTACTAGCACTGACGTGGCTCCTACCGTAAATCCCTTTTACTGCGTTTGTCGCTCTCAAGCTTCCTCTGCTTTGCTCACGCGTTGAATCTTTTCGCGGCCTGCCCCTAACTCAGCACCTCCACAGACCTGCTTACAGCGCCTGGCCAGCAAAAGCAGTTCCACAAGGAGCTGAGACGCGCGCAGACGTCTGGTCGAGCTCTACAGTGATGGTCCTCAGCAAACGCGCAGATGCATAGGAAATCATCATACACATTCAGGGAAGTGCGCGTAGTTCTTGAAACCCCTGAGGAGGAGGCACAGCGTGCAGCATTATTAGACTGTCTCCTTCAACCAGGTCACCGTCTGGCTACCTGCGCTGGGTTCAAGCGGGCGACATTGTTCCTCTTTGGTTGTAAGGTAAGAGCCGCTTGTCTGGAGTCCCCCACAGTCGGCGACGTCGCGGAACTAGCGACTCCGCATACGGTGGACAGGGCGCACAGCTAAAAGGACGAACACTCTCGGCCCCTCACCATCTTCATTGTAGCACTACACTCGCTCTCATACGGTTTCCTGAAGCCTCCGCCGGCGGCATTCTTGAATTGGCGCCGAGCGCGTGAAGGTGGCGGGGTGAGGCTCTCGGTCCTTCCTTTCTTGTGCCGAACTCACCCATCCCTGAGAGAGAGCCAAGAGCACATATAGAGAGGTTGCGGCCGTGCGTGCAAACGCCTTGTTCCTGGCGTATGTCCTTCCGGCTTGTGCACCATATACGCGAGGAGTTTTGCCGAGCTACCCAGCCACGGACGCATGTATGTCGTTCCCTTTCGAGACACTGCCTCCGCCGCCACGTAGGCGCACCTGCAGAGGTCGGCGAAAACGCAGTGCATCTCCACTGTTTGCTGCTTTACGGCTATAATCCATCGTGAAGGAGGCTTCAGCGGCGCACGAGCGAGACACAAACCATGCGCCCGGTATATCAGCTGACGCGACGCTGCTTAGATAGTGAGGAGAACACATGACGGCTGAAGGTGATACAACGCCGGCGCACCCTCACTGAAGCCTTGCGAACGAGGGTAGACCAGCGACAACGGCTTCGTCCTCTGTTCATTCTTGCATACGGTGCAAGCGGGCCCCGTCCACGTGACCGCCGTTTCTGCGTTTCATATTGTAGAATGCCTCTCTGCACACGTGAGGCGGCTGAAACCTGGCGGCCGCCGAAACAGACATTTCCTCCAGCATCCTGTCGTTGAGCGACGTCTCTACGCGCGGCGGAGAAATTGAGCAGGAGAGCCTACGTCGGCGCATTCCAGGCGGTCACAAAATGACAAAACAATGTGGAGTAGTCAGCGGACAGAAGTGCATCATAATTGTTGTCTGCCACACCGTCGCTCCTTGCAGTCGCACCGACGCCTTGCCCTTAGGAGATGCCTAGGTTTTCACAATTCTCCTCTAGGGCCAACTGTTTTACCGGTGTTCGCATGGTCACTGCAGCCAAGGAACAGAAATGATTATCAGGATCTACCGCGGTCGCAGGCCGACGTACGCAGCTGAACAATGCACCACCCAGGCACCGTAGCTATCCTAGAGAGCAGCTTGCAGTCTTTTCAAAGGACGTTACACGCTCGTATAACCGTATACTCCTGCCGTCTGTGGTTGATTGTAAAAACCAGCGCATGGCCCCGTGGTATCACTTAATTGAAAGGCGCGCGTGAAAGAAATCTTCCACGATGTTACAGGAGCCTGCACCAGCTTCTACCAGATGCCTCGCCCTCCACAAGGTAGCCGTCCCGCGTGTTGTAAAGTGCCTCCGTACTCACACAACATCCTGTGCCATCTGCCGTCGCCCACCACAAGGCCCGGCAGGGCCGACGCCAACGCGACCGGCCCCGCGTCTTCACGGCTACTTTGCTGACGAAGTCGAAAACGGGGAAGCAGAGTCCATCAGTCGCCGCTGTGCGCTGCCGCGCTGGGCTCATGCGGATGCGCACACCCCCCGCCCGCGTGCCGGATCCGGTTTCTTCGCAGTTAGAGACAGTCTTCAGCATATGTGACGTCCTATGGCTTCACCAGCTTACCCCCTTCCGATAGCACGCAAACGCCTCCCCGCCCCTCAGTACGATTCACGCACAGCTGTCTAACAGGGCTGCCATTAGCTCAACAGGCAGTTCAAGCTCGCGCACCCCGTTTTCGTGTAGTGCTGCCTCCAACTCACCTCAAGGATGTCTTCGACCCGGTGTACATTATCCTTTGGCTGCCTCAGCGCGCCTCACGTATTCCCTTGTGCGGCTGTGCGGCAAAAGAGGCCGTGTAGCAGGAATTCAACCTTACCGGTATGTCGTCTCACTGCGTCTGAAGAGCCCAGTGCGGGCTGGTCGACAATGGGGGATCTGTATATGATTTCGCACGTCTGCATACTGTGACACGCGCAGGCGAGCGGGCAATCAGCTACTGACGGAGGACCGTACGACAGACTGCAAGGCCGTCGGGCCATGATACGTATAACTTATCATCAGAGGGGCGTCTCGGCCTTCCTGTGTGCGGGCGCGTCGGACAGGCGTTCGAACTCTGCGCTCCGTCCCAGTCAAAATACGGCAAGTGGGCTGATGCGCCGGATATACGCAACAAGTAGCCGCAGCGTCGATCGTGAGACGACGCCTCCGGACACTTTGTGCGTTCGAGGGATTTTCGACCTGGATATTAGAGATGCGAATATAGTCAGCTCTACCAGCGAGACTGTTGCCGCGGCCGGTGAATCACATTCCTTATTGCAAGTCGCCACGAAACGTTGCGCGGGCTCTGCGTACGTCTGCTCTTGCTTCGGTGGCGTGGACAGCAGGAAATTTTCTGACCATGGTCTGAAGTGCCCTTTTTTTCCACATCCCTTGGTGAGGCTCCCTGAATTGATTCTCAGAGTCGTCGTGTCCGCGGGCTCACCAGCTTCCTATTCTGCATCATGGCACAGCAGTGCAGGGGTGTCCATCAGAACTGCTCTGGATGCTCGCCGGCTGACGTGGCCGTCTTTCAGAACTGCGCTTTGTGTCTACTCTTCGGCGAAAAGGAGCGTCTCGCCGCCTCCAAAACGCGGCAGCAATCGCATCTTAACTGGGGCCTCCTTCGTCCTACAAAACCCTCAAGTGCGGTGTATTCAGCTTCTGCGGCTGACCATCACTTACGCAGGGGGATGTAAGCAGGCACGGCACTGTGCTCGAAGCAGTCGGCACGCATCGCGAGGCCCAGAGACAAATTGTAGCCTGCTCGGTCTTCAGGCAAGCAGGTTTATCTTCGATAAGTAGATGGCTCTGTGCCCACCTGCTTACACAGTATGCAGGATCGCGACCAGCTTAGGCATACTCACCCCGTCGCCACTACTGTGCCTGCCATTATGTCGAAGCATCCACATAGGTGGGGCCCACGCGGACTCGTGGCAGCTCACGACAGCTAGGAGGAATCCTGCCACACGCGACACCGAGGACGGAGTCGAGCCTCAGCGCATCTCTCTAACCGAATATGAAAGAGTTATGTCCTGCGAAACAGTAGAAGATAATATATGGGAGCGTGGCATCATGTACT